AACTCCCAAAATTATTGTTTGGGAGTGGATATAGCAAACGTGAAGTGCAACTCGTAAGTGGTTAAATATTAAAATTATTTAATTTTTATTTATTTATTTATTATAAAACAAGTCAGATTTATTTTGAGTTAAAACCTATAAATATGGTTTATTATATTCGCCATAAAATTTATTTAAATATTTTAAAAAAATTATGAAATATATTTGTGTGTGGAACTGAGATCAATATACTTTTATATACTTACATACACAACTTTATTTTTTTAAATTTGTATATGTTAAACTTTATGTAACATATTTGTTTATCGGATCAAATCATCGATCTCCAATTTGTTTATCTTAATCATTAAAGGTAGTGTTAAGTTTGAAAAAAATACAATAATATATTACCGATGTGTTAATAAAAATATAGCAAAGTACTTAATATTAAGATGATTTGTATATGCTCAGCACAGAACACATACTTTTCATACAACTGTAAGACATCTTAATTATTGATAGAATTAAAATAAAAAAAAATCAATACTAAAGATTAATGATGACTCTAATATAATTTTATATGATAAAATCATTCACATAAGCATATTAAAAATTTTGCATGAAAATCCCTTTTAAAGATTCCTAATTTTACTTAAAAAATTAAGTTTTACTATAAAATTTTCAAAAAAATATTAATATTATCCTTTATTCTTTCTTCTTTTCATATTTAATTGAGTCAAAATCAATCCTTCTCCACATTTATCTTTTTCCTTGGTAATTCTACAGTAATGTCTTTATCGTCTACATCAATTGTGATATCAAGTTGGTATATAATAAAGAGCAAAAAGAAAGACAAGAGTCCAAAAATATATTAGGATATACTTGGATCAATCAAATTATATTATTACTCATAATTGATATATATCAGAGACAAAATGTGTTGACAACCTTAAATTATAAAATAGATTGTATGAGCCCTCTGACATAAATTTTTAAATGCAAGCAACCCTCAAGATTAATTTTAAAAATCTCTTGGGGCCAAGAATAAATAATTTACAAGTTTGCAGTGGAATCTAGACGAACGTAATACATTCTTAAGAATTATTACTTTTTACTTAATTTTTTTTATAATGACAGTATCTCATTATTAACTAACAACACGGCGTAGTACATTATTTATTTTATTGGGTGTTCGAGGCAGGCAGAGGACCCATGCGAGTCCTTATCGCAATGAATGCTATACAATTTAAGTACAAAAAAAAGGAGGGGTTGATCAATGATGTATTTGGTGAGGGGGAAACTCTAACAACTTAATTTGGGTATGTGGATATATTATAGATGGAGATGCTAAAGGATGGTTTAGAAAACAGTAGGTGTGTGGGGGTAATTAATATTATTTTTGTTTGTGTGGTTTTCTTCGTTCATTTTCAAGATACATGTGGTCCTGTGGATATATATACCTATAGCATTTCTACTATCTTTTGATTTTATGGAAGAGTTTGGGTTTAAAAATAAATAAATTATCTAATCCGGTTAAGTAGGATCATATAAGCTAAGTCCATACATGAAATTTATTTTAACCAACACCCATATATAATTATTACAATTAGCATTGAGATCTAAGATACATGTGAGATTCTCTTTGACTTTTATATAAATAGTATCTATTTAAATAATAATAGTATAATTAAACTTTATGATTTGAAAAAAAGATCAAATAAACAATATAATTGATTCTTTAAAATAATCTAATATAATCTAATAACAAGAAATAGATGAAATTGATGTAAAAATTATTGTAATTTCATAATTTATAATTTTTAAATAATCTAATCTAGTGATCTAATTTAATAAGAAGAAAATAACAAAGACATATATTTACTGAAGGTGATAAAAATGCTATGAAAATTGTTACAATTTTTAATCTAAAAAGATCAAACATACAATATAATTAATTATTTTAAAGTAATCTAATCTAATCTAATAAGAAAAAAATAGATGAAAGTAATGTAAAAATTATTGCTATTTCTTGATATGAAAAAAATTAAATATATAATATAATTAATTACTTTAAAATAATCTAATATAATTTAATAAGAAGAAAATAACAAAAGCACATACATATAGAAGGAGAGGAAAGTGCTATGGAAATTGTTGTAATTTCTTAGCTTATATATATTGTTATGTGATGTTGCATGTGAGAGGATAATAATTGTAAATAGAGTTCTATTTAAATAATAATAGTATAATTAAACTTTGAAACTAATTATGTAGTACCGTGAACTACTTGAATTTTAGTCGGTGAGAGATCGCCACGTTGTGTACTCAAATCTCAGCCGTTTGTTTTAATTTTCATTTTTTATAATTTTGAGAATGACTTTTGTCTCTTTAATTTGTTTGTTACATTTTGCAAATATACAGTCCACATTATGTACATTTGTAGGTCTGCGCTGTTCCTGAGTTTGATCTTTGGGACAGACATTACTTGTCTCGTTAATTTGTTTGGTTTTTGCATATACACCCTTCATCTTGTATACATTTATAAATTTGACATTTAATAATTTTATTTAGGTTTATATTTCAATTTAAACTATATCCTTATCTTCATACTATGTATATCCAATAAGAATTCATCAATTTATCAAGTTATTCTTTACTTAATGTATTAATATTTGAACTATAAATGTACTTTTGTCTACCAAAAGATTTTCCCAAACTCGTACTTTTAAAGGGAGTATGATTTTAAGCTTGATGTATAATTTAGAATTTTCATATATAGCAAGCACATTTTTAATATTTTAAGCTTGATAATTTAGTTCAATGATTGAAACCTAGTTGTAATCAATAAGGTTAGAGCAACTTAAGCTCAAATCTATTTAAATCATATACTTCAACTGGAGTGATATTTGCAACCATAGTTGAAACTGCAACTATCTAGTAGTTGTAACTGAAACAAATGACACAATTGCAGTCAATTGTATTTACAAATTCTCTAGTTGTAAGCTACCACATACCCCTTACGTGAGAATATTTATTGTTTTTTGTCGAGGGGGCCTTGGTCTAGATAGAGTTCTTCTTTCTTGGGAGACGAGTGGCGTTCGAATTCCGCCCGGATCAAACTTCAGCTGCTTTTCAAGAGGACTCGATCAGGATAGTTTTGTCTCTATTTTGACTATATACACGTGGGCCTACTACAAACCAAGTACTCTATTGGTATGGATTCCACTTTAATCCTTGCCACATATCCCATGGTGAGTAGGAAAGGACTCGAATCCTCACCGGCTAGTTAGAGCTTCCTTCCATCTAACTGTTAGGACGTTGTCCGTGCAATATCTTTTATTTGACTGTGATAACAAACTCTCATTTGGTACTAATATTGGTTTGAGATGATTCGGTACATTAAATACAAGTACAGGACATGTATGAAGCGAAATGATGCGAAAAATAGCTCAAAAGCTTATTTCAGGATATTGACCCTTGATAGTGGCCTTTGATCATTGATGGTGCTTGTAGGCCATTGAGGTTCTAAAAGATCATCGATGGTGCACATGTCCAGAGACGTCTAAATCATTGACAGTGCTCATCAACCATCGATGGTCGCTCAAAACCATCGGTGGTCAAGAGTAACAATTGATGGTAATGTCGGCTGATTGAGTTTTTGAGATTTTAATCTCAACCATCTTCAAATTCTCTCTCTCTCTCTCTCTCTCTCTCTCTCTCTCTCTCTCTCTCTCTCTCTCTCTCTCTCTCTCTCTCTCTCTCTCTCTCTCTCTCTCTCTCTCTCTCTCTCTCTCTCTCTCTCTCTCACTTCGTGAAAAAAAGCCCCAAATCACTCTCTCTCCCTGAAAAATCGAACCCAAATCCCTCCTCCTAACTCCACCGACGGAAGACCAACTTCGCTCAAAAGAAGGAGTATGTTTATTTTAAACAAGGAAAATCTCCAAGAATCGCGGATGTTGGAAAGAAAAGACGTCGAGGAAGCTTAGCTGAGGATTGTACTGCCAAAATTACAGTTTTAAAATCAAACTCCAGAAAATACATTGTTACTATTTTTAATGAGGAGCACAACCATCCTCTATCAACACCATCAAAGGTTCATCTTTTAAGGTCCCACCGTAACGTTTCAGCCGTAACAAAGTCTTTAATTAAACAGTTCTTCATGTTGAATATACCTCAGCATCAACAATTTAGTTTTCTTGGAGTACAATCTGGAGGTATAGAAAATATTAGGTGCACTCAAAGAGATTTGTATAATCATAAAAGGGATATACGTGCTAATATGAAGGGGCATGATGGTGAAATGTTTTATGAGTATTTAAAATTAGAACAAGGAAAAAAATCCCTCGTTTACTTTTCCAATTGAGGTCGATGAGGAACACAGGATTACTCATTGTTTTTTGTCCGATGCAACTTCAAGGTGGACTTACAATTTTTTCGGTGATGTTGTAATCTTTGATACCACTTATAACACTAATCGATATGGTCTGATATTTGCACCAATAATGAGGGCTAACAATCATGGTCAAATAATTGTTTTTGCTTGTGGAATTTTAAATCATGAGAGCGTTGATGATTTTGTATGGTTATTTAATCAGTTTTTGGCAAGTATGCCTGGTGGTGCCCCGAAGATGATTATTACCGATCAAGATCCGGCTATGACTAAAGCATTCTCTCTTATTCTTCCAAATACTTTTCACAGGTATTATAGTTTGTATATATTATTGAAAATATTTATATACATTGTCTTTCTTTTTAACACTTTAGAAATTTCTTTTGACATGTATTGTAGTTGCCATATATTAATGAAGTTTTATGAGAAAATTGATGCAGTGAAGTATAGTATTTATAAGAGTGAGTTTTTGGCTTGCATTTGGAAATCGGAGACTCCTGAAGAATTTGATTTACAATGAGAAAATCTGATTAAGAAAAGTGGGTTAGAAGAAAACAAATGGTTGCAAGACCAATATGAACTTCAGTCAAGATGGATTCCTACATATGTTAATCACGTTTTCTCAGTTGACATGTCAAGTAGTCAACGAGCAGAAAGTGGACATGCATTTTTCAAAAAATTTGTTTCGAAGAATAATTCATTGATGGATTTTATGATACAGTTTGGTAGGGGACTAGTGCGCCAACGTCACGAGGAGTTGATGGCCGCTCACAAAGATGTAATTGAGAAACCTAAACTTAGAATAAATCATGACTTTTTGAAGCAAATGGTTGATATTTACACGAAAGAGATGTATTACAAGTTTGAGGCTAAAGTGTGTGACAGCTTTAACTACAACTTACAGTTTGTTAGGGAAACCGACAATCACTATGTGTATCAAATTCAAAGAAAGAAGCTCGGAGCAAGTAAAGTCCGCGAAATCGTTTACAACAAGGACTTGAATTTGGTTTCTTGTAGTTGTAAAAAGTTCAAAAGTGTCGGAATCCCATGTACGCACATTATCTTATATTTGATGAAGTTTGATGCTGAAATATTGCCCGATAAATATATCTTAAAGATGTGGACTAAGTCTGCAAAATCAGGGATAATGGATGATGATAAAGACATGCAGATAACCCCTGACAATTCTTATCTTTTAATGCGGAGTCAATTTATCCAATCATCTTTGGATTTAGTTGACAAGTCCCTCGTATGTGAAGAAACAAGGATGATGTTTACCGATGGTTTGTGTAGCATTAATGAGCAAATAAGTCAATTTCTTAGTAGCCGCATGGGTGTAATGAGCTTCACCGAGAAAAGTAATTCAATAGGTAGTAATATAATAGGTGATGGTACTAGTGCGCATGGTTCTTGTACTTTTCAAAATAGTTTCAATGAACCCAATCAAGTGCGAGCAAAGGGGTACGGTAAAAGGTTGAAAGGAGGAAAAGAGAAATCAATTGCTAAAGTCAAAAATAAAAGAGAGAGACATTGTCACGGGTGTGGTAAAGTAGGCCAATCACATGATAAGTGAAATTGTCCGGCACTCACAAATCCGTAAGTAATAATTCTTTTATTCTTTATGTTGTCTTATTTTTCACATTCTAGTATTCCTCTTGATGTGTATATATATATTTTTAATATAATATAGGTCTTCTACATGCGTTGATGTGAATTTGCAAGAGGGTAATGAGATATCAAGTGAAGATGGGGATGAATAGGTCTTCTACATGCGTTGATGTGAATTTGCAAGAGGGTAATGAGATATCAAGTGAAGATGGGGATGATGTGAATCTTTTTGAATGAACCCGAGGAGTTGCAAGAGGGTAATGAGATATCAAGTGAAGATGGGGATGATGTGAATCTTTTTGAATGAACCCGAGGAGTGGTTTAGAAATCTGTTTTAACAAGAAGTAAGCCCCTTTATTCTCAGTTCTTTCTGTTTTAATTTCATTGCATTTAGATGCAAATAACATGATCGAATCTGTTCTTTTTCGTAATACATATATGACTACTTGTGGTAAAATGTATAAAAACAAATGACAACATTTGGTATTTGGCTTTAGCAGTATGTATCTGACTTATTGTTAACTATTTAGGTATTCTGTTATGGGCAGAGAGAAGTGGTTGAAAAGCTGTTGATGGAACCTTCAAAAAGTGGGGATGCCTTTCAAAAAGTTTAGTCAGAGAGAAGTGGTTGAAAAGCTGTTGATGGAACCTTCAAAAAGTGGGGATGCCTTTCAAAAAGTTTAGTTACCTATTGTAAGGATTGTTGTTGATTGTCCTTTCAAAAAGTTTAGTTACCTATTGTAAGGATTGTTGTTGATTGTTTCAAAATGTTGATTATTGTAAGAATTGTTGATTGTAAGGATTACCTTTCAAAAGTTCAGTGTCATGAGATTTGTGCGAACAAATTATTGATTATTTGATAAGTTTTGAGATTTGTATCAATCAGCAGGGAACATATTGTATGTGCTTGAAAAGCTGGGAATACATTGATTATGAAACACTCAATAATGCAGCAGGATACAGTTTGCAAATAATGCAGCATGTCATTGCATTATTTTCGTTTAACACTATGACTAGTGTCTGTTGAGCTATTATCTGGGAGAGAATAAGAGATGCTAATATCATCATGAAAAGCTTTTACAGGAACATGTAAGTTTAGCAGAATTTCCATGGGAAAAACTTAAGTGCACGCTCTGTACACCCATCTTTTTATTCCTTAGATTTGCTTCTAGCCTTTATATTTCTCAGATTTACTTTGAGAGACACAGCTGACTGACGTGTGATACACATTGAGGATGTCTCTTTCTCAAGACCCATCACACATCAGCAAACATCTCCAATAAGTTCAAGGAATATAAAAATTTCACTGACAAAGTCCTCAGTTCGCTTGAGTCTACAGAAGCTTTTTACAAATGGACATCGCACGATAATACAGGTATTCCAGGCTCTGGAATGAACCAAACACATTCTTTCCAATGATCGTACCAATCCTTACTACCTAGTAAATAAACAATTTTGACAACAAGCAATGGTAAAATCACATCACAAAACTTGTAGGCATTTGTTTCCTAGCAAGGGGAAAATGGCAGTTAACTTCAACACTCAGAAGTAGAAAATTAGAAAGATACATGGATACTGGCACAAAAAGCTTTTGAGTTATGGGCAAGTGCTTAATGACACAAGAAGTAATATATTATTTCATTCCAGCACAAAAAGCAAAAATTAACAGACTAACAGGTTTCACTATCATGGCGTGAAGCATTACAAAATACCGATTCCACGACACATAATTTCCTCACTTATAAAGTCTTGTTTCATTCCGACACATCAAGTTAAATCACATAATTTCTTTCATAGCCAAACAAAAAGACAACAAAAAAGCTATAACAGTTAGTCATTTCCATAACACTTTTTCACGTATAACAACCAAGTCATGCGCCTCTGGTGGGGCAATGACGAGTGGTATTTGTTTGATTGATAAAATCTTGCACCAGCCCAAAAACGAACCACACTTTTGCCTTTTACACGAGTAGTAAATTCTACCACGGTTATTGTTCTTGTTCGACTTCATTATCATCACATCCGCTAATTCTCCACACTCGCATTGTTTCAATATGAATCTAATATCCACTTCAACACATGAGTTACCTTCCACAGTTGATGATGAAGCCATTTCAATCTACCAATTTTGAACAATTTAACATGAACATGTGCTGGAAAGAGACATGGGAAAAATTTAGTATTGTCAAAGCACACATTCAGTTCGTCTGAGTAAGCCAACATTGCACCAATTCTCGCAAGTGACCTAGTAAAAAGTATAATGAATATCAACTGAAGATCATTGGCATACTCCAATTCTACAGTTCTAAGCTGACCAACAAAGTGCTACAAGTCAGCAAAGATAGTCAACACAATTAAAAGAAATTTTCCATTTTCTACATAAATGGGCACTCTATTTTCTACATATATTCCTATAATTTGTGTTAAGATCTAGAAAAATAATCAAAGTCTTCTATTCTACATAAATCAAAAATAGAAAAGGAAAAAAAATTGCGCATAAGGATTTCGAGAGATGGAACAGTCATAAAGCAAATGAAGTTATGATCATGTTTCAACATACTTGTTTCGTCAAACTCCATGTCAAGCTAGAACGAGAGAGGTGGACTATGTGGGAACTCCTATTCTACACAATGGGCACTCTTATTCTACACAATGAAAAGGATTATTCATGCTACATGTCCTCAAACTCCATGTAAGCTGTAGATATCAACCTTTAACATAAATGGGCACTCCTATTCTACACAATCAAAAGGATTATTCATTATTGATGGAGATCTTTACCTGCAGTGTCGAATCCCTATTTTTGGGGCTTGAGGGAGATCGAGAGCCGTCGGTGGAGTTAGGGGTCGTCACCGTCGGCGGAGTTTGGGGCCAGCTGTGGAATTGGCGGAAGTCAGGGGCCGATCGAACGGGAGTTCATCGACGGAGTTCGTCTTGAAGGGTTGGCGAAAGTTGGCTCGAGAGAGAGGTGGACTAAGTGATCCTGTAGCAAGAGAATGAGAGATCCTGCAGCGAGAGCACGAGAGTTCATCGGCGGAGTTCGACGGTGAAGTTGGTCTTCTGTTGGCGGAGTTAGGAGGAGGGATTTGGGTTCGATTTTTCAGGGAGAGAGAGAGGGATTTGGGGCTTTTTTCACAAAGTGAGAGAGAAAGAAAACGAGATCTGGAGAATAAATTGGCGCTAGAGTTTTGCAAAAAAACCCACCTCGTGCTCACATGCGTACGCATTCATGCGTATGTGAAAGGAGGAGGAGTCCTAAGGTTTTAATTTTGGAGATCAAGGAGTGCTTTTCGATCCCTTGGAGCCTCGTCAAACCCTTACACATTGCGCACAACATCATCGAATTGTTCCACAGTGAGGAGAGTTTCCTTTGGATTGATCTTCATCTCTGTTCTTCATTAAGCTTCACTCATATCCTTCGAAGGACGATTTGTTTTATTAAAAGGGCTGTAAGATCGTTACAATTCTGAACTTATTTAATATTTGATATTTTTTTCTTTAAACTTCTTTTATGGCATACTCAAGCCGGTTGAATCGAGGGTTGAGACTAGCTAGGACAAATGTGTTATTCATTGTAAGAGTTATGTTAGACGACTAGTTTCGAGTAGATATCAGGGTGCACTTTTGTAAGCCTATTGAATCAGGTTTATGATTCAAGTGAACTATTTTCATAGTGAGGAAGCCCCTTCGCGAGAAGGAAGAGTGGACGTAGGATTGTTATTTCAGGTCTTTTTATTATTGCAATTAGCTCATATTACAATAAAAAAATATGATGAAATAAAGAAAAAATTTATATTCCTAGGGTTCTTTTCTGTGTGCCGATGGAACACCGATTTTGTATTCTGTTGATGCACCGACTAAGACGATGAGTCTTTTACAATTGATGAGAGTTTAGTGACTTGGAAGATAGCTCAATTTTCTCTTGATACTTTTACTCAATTAAATTGCAAGTGCAATAATAGAAATCTTTCTCTGCACATGAGTTGATCTCTCTATGATTTTATCTCCTCCTCAAGATGAGCAATCTCCTCTCCTTTTATAGGTTAAAAGAGAGAGTTAATAGAATTTAATTATAGATTAAGTGGTTATTAAAGTAGGAGATGATGTGGAGCGGTTATTCCTTTGAAAATAACCCTCAAACAGCTATTTGGTAAGGTTCGCTGACTTGGCGAAGCTCACTGAAGAGTTTGGGCGAAGTTCACTGAAGACGTTTGGGCTGTTAGTCTTGTTAGGTCTCATGTTTATGAGCCTACTCCCTAATCTTGTTTTGATGATCACAAATAATTTCTAACAATGTGTGTCGAGTGTTTGTATTTGTTTTGTTAGGTAATCTATACAAATATCCAGCTGGAGGTTGGATGAAATTGCGCTTTAATGATTATATTCAATAGAGGTTGGCGGAATATCGGTATGAAGCAATACAATTCAAGTTAAAGATCCAAGTTCAAGCTTCATCCGTAAGAGTATCAAGAAGAGCTTCGTTGAAGATCACAAGCTTGGGTTATTAGTTTTTGGACTTAACAATCATTATATAAATATTTTATTAAGTCTATAAAATTATTTTATAAGGTTTCAAAATATTGTTTAATTCAATAGTAAAAAATCAAGAAGTTTATGTACACATGTACTTACAAGTTTTGCAAAATAGTAAGTTTTCATAAATATGAACTGATATATCAAAAAATTCCTTCTTTAACATGTTTGTTTTAATTTTTATAAATGTTTCCTAAAGTTTTATTAATTTTGAAATTAAGTTGTTATGTTTAATTGAATTTATAAAATCAAGTTTTAAATAAGTTCATGTTCGTGCACATGTTCGTGCATGTTTTTACAAAACAGATGAGTTTTCATAAATGGAAAATGAAAATTTGAAAAATTATTTTTCTATCATGTTCTATTACATGTTTATAATAATTTTACAAAATTGTATTATTTTTGGAGTTGATTTACTATAACAAATTGATT